ATAGAAGAATTTTCTCAAAATCAAAGCTTTAAAAGCTAGGATCCTAAATTCTTACCAAGACGGCAAGACCACGAAAAGTTTGAGAAACCATAACAACATCCATTGAGTTTTTAAAGGAGTTAATTCCATTTACCTCCTTGGGGTTTAGGTCCATTTTATCCAAGTTTTACAATTTAAAATACTAAAATATATCCCCTCATTATATAATCGTTGTTACAGAGAAACAGATCGTCTTGGGGGTAGAATTTGGATTTTTATAAACAGGGACATTATCATAAAGGAGAGGTATTTTGGTTTTTAAATTGAAAAGTCATCCCAATATATATATATATATATATATATATATATATATCAAACAAAAGTTTAATTTATTGTGCAGGAGCTATTTTTCATTTGCATCTTCTTGACTATTGACTATTAAGGAGGCATATTGCCGTCCAAGCTAAGAAATGAGCTGTTCCTGGGTAGACCCAACAAGACTCTCTATAATAAAGTCAACACGAAATTACATAATAATTCTAATAAGAATTAATAAAGTAGGGAGAGTGGTTGGGTTTTGGGGTTATATGATAAACAAGTTTTTGGTTTTAATTGGTGATGACAATTGACAAGAAAAGGTTGTTGCAGTAAATGATACAGAGAGGTCGCTACTGACCACAAGATTATACATTTGTCTATCTTTTAAGGTATTCTCCAGCTAACTTCACTATATATGATTCTAGTCCATTGAAAATTTTAACTTAAGTTCCTTTCATTTTATACTATTATAAGTTAACCGCTACTGGGTGGTCGGATAGGACGATAAAGATTCTTTGATATATATATTCAAGAAGTTTTGAGTTTGATTTCCCTCGATTGTTAATAAGGGTGATCATAAAAGGGTTACACAGTCGTTAACTTCAAAGGCTAGGAGAATTAGTTGAAGTGCAACCAAGGACATAACCACATTAAAACATATGGATTCATATTGACACATGAAAAAATAAAAAATAAAAGTTTTATATTTTATAATTTTTACAATTTTTACCCATTTAAATTCATATTGACCTAACAAAAATTTATTATAAATTTACCAACTTAAATATTTTGAATATTTTGAATCCACCCACTACAAACCTTGAGTGCGCCCAGCTGGATATATATTATAAGTTTTTATCATAGCATATTTGAAGAATCTAGCTGATTCCTAATTTCTATCGCATCGTGTGTTGTAAATTGTCAGTAAATAACAAGATCACTGAATTTTTTTTATTTTTTTATAATTTCATTGTTAGAATGTATTTTATTGTTTGTTGAAGTCGAAAATAGTAAAGCATTCAAGAATCAAGACAAATGAGAAGTCTTGGAGGTGATCCTTTTATCTATTTAATCAAAGTATTACAATTAGTTATAAATATTTATTTCACTATGTTTAATTAGATGAACAATAAGTCCATGAATGATACTTTTTTTTTTTTTTTTTTTTTAATGTCTTGCCAAACGTCTATATAGAAATGTCCACGTGTGATTATAAGTCTACACAAGAGTGAGGTGGATGAGTAGGCAAGGGGCCCTATGACAAGGGCGTTACAGGATTAGGTGGGGAAGAATGTAACGAGTTTCATATCAAAAACGTATTGAAGAGGTTTTGGACTTATAAATGAGGGAAGTCTCTCCACCTAATAGATTAGTCTTTTCGGTGTGAAACTCCCAATCCGTGACACTAGGGGCACCCAAACTTAAAAACCCATGTTGAATCCTTTTACTTTTTTACCATTAACCACCTAATGATAATTAGGAGTTCACTTGTTGATGGCTGGTGAGAGCTCATCAATCTCATAACTACACTAAATCGAAACTTCTTTGTTGCTATCTATGTGAGTGTGCGTAGCTTTCATAAATTTGAATTATTTATGAGCAGCATGATCCACGCTTTGTTGCCATTCTACGTTCTAATCTTTGTTTTCATTGACCATGGTAGAGCACTTAACAATCTGGAAAATAAAGACATTATGACTAATTACTGGGAATTGGCTACCTCTACTTTTTTTAGTCATGTCAATTCTCAGTTTTGGAGTTTATTTATTATTATCACATAAAATAAAAAAATTGTATTCAAATATTCTCATTTTCCTTATCCATTTTTTAATACTAATAATTAAACTCCAAGGGCTCAATGTGTTAATTAGAAAAATTGCTAGAAATTAATTATAATTAGGACGATCGGTGTAAATTGACAGGTATGTTCTTGAAAGGACGTAGCTGTCAATATGTTTTCAAATTATTGGAGATTGTTTCACATGCATTTGTGAGATGGAAAGACGGATTCTTCTTGGAAGAGGTATATATGCATGTATCTAAGTGAAATTACAAAATATTCAGAAAGTGTTTCATTTCAATCCATAACATGTTCATAATCATTCAATTACAAAACCTTCTGAGGTTGGAGTGTTCAAAGTAGTCCCCTTTATTCAATAATTACATTTTAAAATCTCTATTTTGCTTGAGGTTGAATTATGTTAATGTTAGATATACATTAAGACGAAAAACGGATTATTATTTTTTTTTAATTATTTTGATAATAGGCGAAAGGAAGAGGGAGACCCACTTGAGCTTCAGGATGAGATTTTGAGCAAAATATATATATATAATGATTTAATTTTTAAAAAATTTAAATAAAAAATTTATAATATATTATTTAACATACTTCAATTTAATATAAAACAAAAAACTTCTCAATTCTAGTAAATTATTTTACTTTCTATCTCTTTAGACACTTTTTGTAAAAGATAAATAATTATTAAAATCACATTGAAAAAAAAAAAAAAAAACAACAACAACAACAAAGAGGAAAAGGGAAAGATTTAGAGATATTATTGTTGAATTCATGGCCTCCATGCTCTTTTCTATATTTCCACACATTTCTTCTGAAATCTCAAATTCTACCATAAATGTCATAACCAATGTTTTAATAACTGACCCAAGGTGAAACACGGCAAATTTGTCAGGTCCCAGGTTGACCTGTTGAACCGGTTTGACCAATAGGTCAGACTAGTAATGTCAGCATGTCCAGAGGTTTGAAATCTAGCAAATACACCCCTAAGAAATTATCATCAGTTTCTACAGGTTTGAAATCTAGCAAGCAAACCCAAAATGCAAATCGGCAGTCGACTGGTTGGTGGCGGTGACACACCAAATGCAAATCCCACTCATCATTTGCGCCATTCTTCAACAAATCTACCCAAGATCTGGCCGAAATCAAACCATTTTCCGTAAAAAACGATCGTCAATATTGACAACTCAGGCCAAATAGGCTTGTTTCCAGCATCGAAAACATTTCTCATCACCACGAAAACATTCCCCTTAGCCTCTTCACCAAAACCCATCTCACCCCCTTGTTCGTCTCGCCAATGCTGTTGTGGCCACGTGACTTTTGTCTTTTTCGGTCGTTTCACTCACCAGAAATCATCGTTGTCTCCACCTTTCAACTCATCGACACTTCCTCTCCAAAACCCCCAACAGCCCTGCCATCGTCTGCTCGTCAATCACTGCCCTTCTCTCTAGGGGTTTGCTTATTCAGGTTGTAAACAATTGAAATTGGTGACCCGACTCGACGAAGGCCTTGGGTCTAGGTTTTAAAACAAAGGTCATAACATTAAAATGCTAACTTTAGCTTGTAACATATTAATTAATAGATAAAGTATTAAAGTATTTGAAATAGAAGAAAGAATTTGGTGAACATTTTAAAGTAGTATTGTGACAGAATACATGTGAAAAAAATCCAACCTAACATGGGATGGGATGACGTTCTACTCCAGGCACAAGATATTTAGCTGGCGAGCTTCATTTTTGGAATGTCCACTAATCGTTTGCACTTGACTGCTTTTTTTAATTAATCTTTTCATTATTAAATGTTTAAATGTCTAATTGAAAGCTACAATGGATTATTAAATAAAAAACAAATGTTTTAAGTGACCAAAACGAAATTTTATTCCATGTTACTATTTATAATCTTATACTATAAGTTTTTATTTAGTTCAACACAATTCCATGTTACTATTTATAATTTTATACTATAAGTTTTTATTTAATTCAACACAAATTAACATATTCACCATACCTCACATGATAAACTGATTGTACTATTCTTCTTAACTACAACTAAACATTCATTAATCTTCAATTTGGCAAATATTTTAATGTTTTATATTATCATTTCTTGATAAATTTTTATACATAAAAAGAATATAAAAGAGGCTATTGAGATAATTAATCATTTGTTTATTTTTGACAAATAAATTACTTGTCAACGGCCAAACAAATTGTTGATATTAAAATAATTAATTATTATAATAATGATAAATATTTGTAAGGACAGTCAATAATAAATAATAAACCACTACTTGATGATCTGATGGTAAAAAAGAAAAAGAGTACAATATAGGTTTCTGGGTTCGAATCCCTCTAAACATTAATAAGAGTGACTATTGAAAAGATTTACTTGATCAGGACCCAAATATGAATTAGTTTATATTTTAGATACACGCAAACTATTCAAAAAAAAAAAATTAAATAATCCATCTAATAATATCACTTCTGTTTTTTTTTTTTTTTTTTTTTAATTTGTTTAATACAATATAATTTGATTCATTTAAGAGTCCATTATAAATCGAGATAATGTTACCATAAATATGGCACAATTTAATAACACCAATACACCATGGACATTGGATGCAGTTGACAACGACAGAGAAGAGGGCAACAACCTCATAACAAGGGAAAGTTCCAAAGCAATCCAAAGTAACCTAAACTACGCGTTTTGAACACGGATTTACCCAATTTACCCTAAATCGTTGAGTCCACTCATCTATCCAACTCACACCACCCTGATTTGAAGTTTTTAACCTACTCTGCGACCCAAACTCTACCCAATCAAATCATCTTCATTACGTGTCAACATCACGCTTCAACCCACACTATGCTCCTTCCTTTCTCCTACTTATACCCTCCCCATAAGAAACTATAAAAATATCTTCATATAAAATCACCTGTGTCTTTCTCTCTCTCACATCGACTCCCTCAGACGACTTTGTCCTAGAAGCAACAACACCAAGATCCCTCTTCTTCACCCAACCTTTCAATTCCGATAATGAGTTACTACAATCAGCATCAGCCCCCCGTTGGCGTCCCTCCTCCTCAAGGTTCCACTCTCAGTTTAATCTTATTCTTAGTTTATTTATTCTTGGTTGGATTTCATATGGGTTTTTTTTTTATATTTTCGATCCTTTTTCTATTTCATCAAGTCCTAAGCGATTTAGGTTTTCTGGGATCTGTTGTAATCGGATCTGGGGAAGTTAGTATGAGGAATCTCTTGTGTTCGATTTTATCAGTAATTGTTGTTGATTTTGTTTGGAAACACGTTAGGTTACCCACCGGAAGGATATCCTAAGGACGCCTATCCGCCTCCGGGATATCCACCCCAGGGATATCCTCCTCCCCAGCAAGGATATCCTCCTCAGTACGCGCCTCAATACGCCCAGCCTCCGCCTCAACAACAAAAGCAAAGCACTGGTTTCATGGAAGGATGGTATGTTTTCTCTCTATCACAAATTTTATGTGACTCCTGGTTAGATCTGAGTTAATAACTGGGTAGCTAACAAACTCGCGCAGTAGGTGGCAAGTGAATAGAATAGGTGGAAGATCATGCCCGTGTTTGACATAAAGAAAGACTCCATTCACGAGATATGGATTGTGTCAGTTAAAGGGTCTTTTGGTCATTTAAATTATTTGTTGTTAATATCTAGGCTTTTGTTTACTTTTTGATGGTTTCGACAAATTTTAACTTTGTTATATCCTTATTGTCGGTTTGGGTATTCCTAGGAACGAACCGCATTGCGTGTCTAATACAATTTGAATTTTGGAATGAATTAATTATAATAATGTTATCATTTTTGTGACATGTGCAGCTTGGCTGCTTTATGCTGTTGCTGCCTGTTGGATGCCTGCTTCTGATGAGAAATGGCTTTCGGTCGAACTGCAATTTGATCCCATAATTGTGTTGTTTAGATCTTGATATTCTATTGTGTAATTGTCTTTTTTTTTTTTATTTGGGTTTTAATTTTGATAATAATATTGGAACAATTGCTTGGAAGTGAAACCATTTAAATATTTTCGTTTATGTTGTTGGACATATTATGGAGATTCTCATATGTTTTGTTTATTATTTTATCAAAGTAAACTGGCTAGAGACAGATGTGTTTTTAGAATGTTTGGTTGGAGTCTTGTTTTTTTTTTTCTAGTACACAGAGAATTTCCTTTCTTATCGAGGAAACATTTAAAAGGAGAAAAATCTGGTAAAGTGAAAGAGGGAGTAGGCATGTTTGCACGTGTGGATAACAGAACCCAATTATGGGTCTCCATGTGAATAGACACGTCATATGTTGGGTCCTACCTTATATATGAAGTTAACCTTTATTTGTGTAATGTGTTTATGAAAATTTATAGGTCATCTTTGGTTCATTATTCTTGTCCATATATTTAATCCTATTCTATAAATAATCTTTGACATATTATTCTAAAAATATTACCTAATTTTTTTAATTATTTTTAGACTCTATAAGATTATTAATTTCATTAAATGCCCCTTGAAAAAAAAGTTAAAAAAATAACAAAAACACTCTTATGACCCATACTTGTCAGATTCTGGCGATCACTATCGGTGGTGATAGTCGGAATTTGTCGCAATGGTGAATTACCGATCGGAGATGGTCGGTAATTCATCGATCTGGCCAGAAGCGACGGCCAAAGAACTGGTCGTCGTTGAGGGTCAACGATGACAAAATCTTGGCCATCGTTGATCGAAAACGACGGTCATATCTTTGGCTGTCGCTGATGATCAAAGATGGTCATGGTTTTGGCCTTTTTCGACCGTCGACTACCATAGCAGGTTGTAGATCTGGTTTTGTTCGGTCAGATTCGTGGTGGATATGGTTGGAAAAGGCCATAACGACGCGTTACGACATAAATCTGATTGGTCTGTGTCGTAACGCGATTTTTCGACCAGATTTCGACGGTGGTGGTCGGAATCTGACACTGCAAGTAATAGGGGTATTTTTGTTATTTTATATGTTAGGGTGTTTAATTAAATTAATAAACTTATAGATTTTTTTATAAATTTTTAAATTTTATTTTATAATACTCTTCTATATAACTACTTAATATTATTTCCAAAATTCTACTAAAATAATGAGCCATCGCACCCATAAAGATTTTTAACGAATTGTATTTTAGAAATAATTAATGGAATCTTCAGTGGGAATATGATTTATGGTCCTATGGACCACCGCGATAATGGAATGAGTTTTTATACAGTGACGTGATGGTGATTATTTTGTATTTGTTTGCGTGTGTAATGCATCCATCTATCAGAAGATCCATCGTGTCACGCAACCCAAGTTTTAAAAATTAGTCTTTTATCTTTTTTAATAGTTTTTGAAATTGGATAAAGACGCAGCTTCCACTTTTATCAAAATCAAAAGTATTTTTGGTGAATCAATTAATTGACAAGAACAGCATCCCCCTACTTTATTTGAAGGATAATGGTGCTGGGTTCATCAGACTTGGCAACTTTATTTGAAGGATCCTTGCTTAAACAAGTGATCAAATCTGCCAAAAGGGTGTTTTGTAAAGGCACAGTTTTTCAGTTCGAAAACATGTAATTGACAAGAGTATATTAAAGAATCTTTCGGTATTATCTCTTAAATTCCCTAAACGATTAAGAAAGTATCAGTAAGTCCTCGCAATTAGTACAAATAATCAACTGCCTCTCTTCACATTTCATAAAAGCATTACTTATCTCTCCCGAGTATAGTCAAAGTGAAATTTAAGAGGGATAAATGCGTAATTTTAATCGGAGGTTTTAGCTCTTTCCATGACACCAAGTTATATGGGAGCTTAATCTCCTTCAAAGTCATATTTCGATGAAACGAGGTAGCAAGAGCAAGAAGTCTAGGTGGTGGTCCGTCATGAAGTGGCCAAAATTATTTTAAATTATGCCAAAAAAAATTAAATTTTATTGCTTCAGTTTGGTTAATGTACTTGGGATTATGAGAAATTTAAGAAATAAAGAATATATTTATTGGCTGATCAATGAAACATTTATATCAAAAAACCGGTTAAGTCAGAATTCTATCCAACTATAAATGAGGCAACTACACTCTTATTTTTAATGGTTACCTTCTTTCAATTAATAAATTTATTTTTTATTTTAATTATGAAAGGAGCTGGCCCGCGTTTGGTTTGTCTTCAACTGGTCTTACATCAAAATAAACAACTTATATTTCATTTGAAAACATGAAGGATAGTTTTACTCAAACAAATTTACGAATTTAGAAGAGCAAACAAAAGAGAGGTAAACCCTAAATCCCAAAACAGAGCAAACAAATTTGCAGTTTCCTTCATCATTTTGCTCTAAAATCTTCCTCAATTCACCGTCGATCATCTACTCTTTGTTGTCACTCGTCAGCTCCTCTTCCTCATTAGGTACGTCGATCTCTTCTCCTTTCAATGCTTTCATCTCTCTTTAACCTCTGTATTTCATTTCTAATTTTTTATTTCCTCATTCAACAACAGCCTAGAGCCTTTAGCCTTGTTTCATCAGAGATGGAGGTTTGCTTTCATTTTCGGTAGTAGCTCATCTTCGTTATGTTTGTCGAGCTCTTCCTTTCTTTTGAGAACTGCATGCCATTAATTGATTTGAGAACTGCATGCCTTCAGCCTTGTTTGTGTTTTTGTTTGAAGTAAATGAATGGAGGTGTTGATTATGGTTGTGGTGGGAGGTTAATCTCCATATTCTTGAAGAAATGAGATTGGAGGTATTCTAATGTAGGTGGTGGTCGGTCATGAAGTGGCCAAAATTAGTCTAAATTATGTCAAAAAAATTTAAATTTTATTGCTTCGATTTGGTTGATGTACTTGGGATTAGGAGAAATTTAAGAAATAAGGAATATATTTATTGGTGGATCAATGATACATTTATATAAAAAAACTGGTTAAGTCAGAATTCTATCCAACTATAGATGGGACAATTCCACTCCTATTTTTACTGGTTACCTTCTTTCAATTGATAAATTCATTTTTTATTTTAATTATGAATGGAGCTAGCCCGCGTTTGGTTTGTCTTCAATTGGTTTTACATCCAAATAAACAACTTGTATTTCATTTGAAAACATGAAGGATAGTTTTACTCAAACAAATTTGCGAATTTAGAAGAGCAAACAAACAGAGGTAAACTCTAAATCGCAAAACAAAGCAAACAAATTCGCGATTTCCTTCGTCATTTTGCCCTAAAATCTTCCTTTTCACTATCGATCATCTCCTCTTCGTTGTCACTTGTCAGCTCCTTTTCATCGTCACTCGTCAGCTCCTCTTCATAGTCACTCTTTAACTCCTCGTCATTGTCAGGTACGTTGATCTCTTCTCCTTTTAATGTTTTTATCTCTCTTTAACTTCTGCATTTCATCTCTCATTTCAGATTTCCTCCTTCAACGACAGCCTAGAGCCTTCAGCCTTGTTTCATCAGAGGTGGAGACTTGCTTTAATCTTTGGCAATAGCTCATCCTTGTCGTCAGCTCCAGCTCATCTTCGTCAGGTTTGTCGAGCTCTTCCTTTCTTTTGAGAACTGCATGCCATTAATTGATTTGAGAACCGCATGCCTTTAGCCTTGTTTGTGTTTTTTGTTTGAAGTGAATGAATGGAGGTGTTGATTATGGTTGTGGTGGGATTCTTGATAAAACGAGGTTGGAGGTATTCTAATGTTAATGTAGGTGGTGGTCGATCATGAAGTGGCCAAAAAAATATTTAAATTTTATTGCTTCGGTTTGGTTGATGTACTTGGGATTAGGAGAAATTTAAGAAATAAGGAATATAACTATGAGCAATACTACAGTTGCCGAATAATGTGCATCGAATTCATGCACTGAATAACGTGACGTCATCTTGTTTTCTTAAAAAAAAAAATTCATAATTAATCGATGGTCAGAATGATGTCATGTCATTCAGTACATGAATTCGGTGTGCATTCTTCCGTAATTATATTATTTTTCGGTAATTATATTATTTTCCTATAATTATTGGTGGATCAATGAAACATTTATATCAAAAAACTGGTTAAGTCAAAGTTCTATCCAACTACAGATGGGACAACTCCACTCATATTTTTACAGGTTACGTTCTTTAAATTAATAAATTCATTTTTTATTTTAATTATGAATGGAGCTGGCCCGCGTTTGGTTTGTCTTCAACTGGTTTTACATCAAAATAAACAACTTGTATTTCATTTGAAAACATGAAGGATAATTTTACTCAAACAAAATTTAGAATAGCAAACAAAGGAGAGGTAAACCTTAAATCCCAAAACAGAGCAAAGAAATTCGCGATTTCCTTCGTCCTTTTGCCCTAAAATCTTCCTCTTTTCACTACTAATCATCTCCTCTTTGTCGTCACTCGTCAGCTCCTCTTCATTGTCACTCATTAACTTCTCTTCATCGTTAGGTACGTCGGTCTCTTCTCCTTTCAATGCTTTCATCTCTCATTTCCGATTTCCTCCTTCAACGACAACCTAGAGCCTTCATCCTTGTTTCTTCAGAGGTGGAGCTTGCTTTCATCTTCGACAGTAGCTCATCTTCGTCTTCAGCTCCAGCTCATCTTCGTAAGGTTTGTTGAGCTTTTCCTTTCTTTTGAGAACTACATGCCATTAATTGATTTGAGAACTGCATGCCTTCAACCTTGTTTGTGTTTTTGGTTTAAAGTAAATGAATGGAGGTGTTGATTATGGTTGTGTTGGGAGCTTAATCTCCATATTCTTGATGAAACGAGGTTGGGGATATTCTAGTGTAGGTGGGGGTGTCGGTCATGAAGTGGCCAAAATTAGTCTAAATTACGTCAAAAAAATTTAAATTTTATTGCCTTGATTTGGTTGATGTTATGATGTACTTGAGATTAAGAGAAATTTTAATAAATAAGGAATATAATTATTGGTGGATCAATGAAACATTTATATTGAAAAACCGGTTAAGTCAGAGTTCTATCCAACTATAGATGGGACAACTCCACTTCTATTTTTATTGGTTACCTTCTTTCAATTAATAAACTCATTTTTTATTTTAATTAAGAATGGCGGTGGCCCGCATTTGGTTTGCCTTCAACTAGTTTTACGTCAAAATAAACAACTTGTATTTCATTTGAAAACATGAAGGACAGTTTTACTCAAACAAATATGCGAATTTAGAAGAGCAAACAAAACAAAGGTAAAACCTAAATCCCAAAACAGAGCAAACAAATTCGCGATTTCTTTCATCATTTTGCCCTAAAATCTTCCTCTCTTCACCGTTGATCATCTCCTCTTTGTTGTCACTTGTCAACTTTTCTTCATCATCACTCGTCAGCTTCGCTTCGTCGTTAAGTACGTCGATCACTTATCCCTTCAATGCTTTCATCTCTCTTTAACCTCAGAATTTCATATTTCATTTCCAATTTCCTCCTTCAACGACAAACAAGAGCCTTCAGCATTGTTTCATCCGAGGTGGAGGCTTGCTTTCATCTTCAGCAACAACTCATCTTCATCGTCAGCTCCAGCTCATCTTCCTCGTCAGCTCCAACTCATCTTTGTCAGGTTTGTCGAGATCTTCCTTTCGTTTGAGAACTGCATGCCATTAATTCATTTGAGAACTGCATGCCTTGAGCCTTGTTTGTGTTTTTAGTTTGAAGGAAATGAATGGAGGTGTTGATTATGGTTGTGGTGGGAGCTTAATCTTCATATTCTTGATGAAACGAGGTTAGGGGTATTCTAGTGTAGGTGGTGGCCGGTCATGAAGTGGCCAAAATTAGTCTAAATTGTGTCAAAAAAAAATTTTAATTTTATCATTTCTGTTTAGTTGATGTACTTGGGATTAGGAGAAATTTAAGAAATAAGGAATATAATTATTGGTGGATCAATGAAACATTTATATTGAAAAACCAGTTAAATCAAAGTTCTATCCAACTATATATGGGACAACTCCACTCCTATTTTTATTGGTTACCTTCTTTCAATTAATAAATTCATTTTTTATTCTAATTATGAATGGAGCTGGGCCGCGTTTGGTTTGTCTTCAACTAGTTTTACATCAAAATAAACAACTTGTATTTCATTTAAAAACATGAAGGATAGTTTTGCTCAAACAAATTTGCGAATTTAAAAGAGCAAAGAAAACAGAGGTAAACCCTAAATCCCAAAGCAGAGCAAACAAATTCTCAATTTCCTTCACCATTTTGCCCTAAAATCTTCCTTTCTTCACCGTCGATCATCTCCTTTTCGTCGTGACTCGTCAGCTCCTCTTCATCGTCACTCATAAGCTCCTCTTTGTTGTTAGGTACATCAATCTATTCTCCTTTCAATGCTTTTATCTCTCTTTAACCTCTGCATTTCATCTCTCATTTCCAATTTCCTCCTTCAACGATAGCCTAGAGCCTTTAGCCTTGTTTCATCAGAGGTGGAGGCTTGCTTTCATCTTCGACAGGAGCTCATTTTTGTTGTCAGGTCCAACTCATCTTCGTCAGGTTTGTCGAGCTCTTCCTTTCTTTTGAGAAGTGCAATCCTTGAGCCTTGTTTGTGTTTTTGGTTTGAAGTAAATGAATGGAGGTGTTGATTATGGTTGTGGTGGTAGCTTACTCTCCATATTCTTGATGAAACGAGTTTGGGGGTATTCTTGTGTAGGTGGTGTTGTGACTGTTGTCGGTCATGAAGTGGCCAAAATTAGTATAAATTATGTCAAAAAATTTTAAATTTTATTGCTTCGATTTTGTTGGAGGACTTGAGATTAGGAGAAATTTAAGAAATAAGGAATATAATTATTGGTGGATCAATGAAACATTTATATCGAAAAATCGGTTAAGTTGGAGTTTTATAAAACTATAGATTGGACAACTCCACTCCTATTTTTACTGGTTACCTTCTTTCAGTTAATAAAATCATTTTTTATTTTAATTATGAATGGGGCTAGCCCGCGTTTGGTTTGCCTTCAACTGGTTTTACATCAAAATAAACAACTTATATTTCATTTGGAAACATGAAGGACAATTTTACTCAAACAAAATTGTGAATCTAAAAGATTTTTCAAACAATATGAGAACAATAGTACTGGTGTTTGAACCAAATAATGTAACATGAACATGATATAAAATATGTTACATGTAATGTTAATATTAAAAGTTTACCTGATTCTCAAATTACACCACTATTAATAATGACATTAATCGGGAGGTCAATATAGCTTGAATTGGGATATATTTCCAGGCCTTAAATGCAAGCCAAAAAGCTTGACCTAGATCCAATTCTAGCTTTAATTGGGTGATATTTCTAGGCAGCTTAAAAGCTAAACTTAAACCCTAAGGGGTTGGCCTTATGGTTAAGGAGATTTATTCCATTATTTGAATTTCTAAGTTTAAATTTTGAAATCACCTACCACAATAACATTGTGATTTAACTGATTTTTTGAGCTTGTAATGTGTTCAATGGACTTTAAGGATTAACTCGGTGCAAGTGCAACTCGGTGCAAGCTGGTCTGGACACTCTAATTATCCAAAAAAAAAAAAAAAATTAGGGAAATTAATTTACAGCAGTTGACTAAAGTAAGGTGTTAACAAAAAATAGCTGTTTATCCACATTAACCGACATACCTTGAATGACCCACTTCCCATTATACATATCTTCCTGTCTCACTATACTCATCTTCCCTTTATTCAATCGATCTCCAATAAAGTAAAGTTCGTTATATTCCGTATATTTGAAGAGTTAATGATGATTATTTAATAAAGTTTATTTTCTCATATTTTATCTATGAAAATAAAATTCCATAATTTAATTATCTTATATTTACAACACATATGTTAAATTATGTGTTACATTTTTATACATATATTCAATAATAAATATTGTTTATCAATTCTGAACATGTTGAAAATAAATGTGGATTTGATTTCTAGAAGTTTTTAAATATTGAGAAAAAATTTCCTCTAATTTTGTAAAATACTTTAGAAAATATAATTCATCAAAACCTAACCTTAAAATCCTTAAAATCGTGTCACTTTTGACATGAGTAAATGAATGACTTGATTTAACAATTAATAAATATTAGTAAATCACTTGTTCTATTATCAATGGTTTTTCATGTATTAAGGTATTTAATAAGTCACGAAGATTAGTTAAGATGCATATAAATTGGTTCGAATATGTATATTTTGAGAAAAAAGATAAATAAAAGAGAAGGGAATAATTTATGTATTATAAAGATAAAGGTAATGTAATTATTACTTTATCTTTATTGGTAATATGGAAAATGATTTCAAGAATTTTTAGTTCAAAACTAGTGAATTATTATAATTTCCCTAAATAATTATTTTATTAATATTTAATACTAATTATACTTCATCTCTTGCAATACAATAATTAAGAATTTAATAAATTTATTTAAAATAAACATTTATGTCCATTATTCACATTAGATCAGTAGATAAGAATTATAATTACAGTATTTTGAATAAACAAAAAATTAAATTGAAATCCGAACCTAAAAGGAGCTGCCGGGGCCCGACTAGGTTAAGCCGGAGTCGAAGATTCTGCCTCAACAATTCACTCATCAACACGCGTCCATCATCTGCCACTGACCCTACCCTAAACCTATTAACCATCTACTTTAGATTTCAGCACGTGTATGACTTACCACGTAACTTTCGTCTGACCCGCTGTCACATTATCACCGCCATGCCCCTTCCGCTGTAACTGAATTCTAAAACATGTGCCAAAAATCACGAAACAAAAACACATAATCCATTGTTATTATTAATATGTTTTTTTAACGCACAAATTTGAACCTAAGCTTCGCCAACACAACAAACCAAAAATTAAAAATTAAAAATCAGTTAAATTTCTATCATCTCAGGTATGGTTTCTCTCTTCTTCTTCGTAATAATTTCAATTTCTATTGTATTTTTTATTTATTGTTTTTAATTCATTGTTTGGTGTTTGATTTGTTCATAGAAAGGTTCTGTGCATGTTTACAGAGTTTAATTTTAAATTTATTTGCATTTTTATGAAATTGTTATTGTTTTAGGGTTTTTTCATTTATGGTTTATTATAATCCTCTTTTTCATTATTGATTTTTGTTGTCAGATCAGGTGCTTCGATCTCTCGATAGTGTATGATGTTATTGCTGTGTTTTGATCAGGTTTATTTAATTTTTGTTGTAATTTTTGAATGTTTTGAGCGTAGTATGGAGTTTTGAACCAATTCAATTGATGTTATTATTTAGCTAATGTGAGAAAATGGGATTTGTGTGGCGGTTTGGTTGAAACTTCAGCGTTTTGGATTTGTATTGCCAGTATGATTTAGTGAACTAGAGACTAGAAGAAATTAATATTCCAATTTTTTGTTGAATTAGGCTGTGAATTATAAAAATGCTCCATCTTGTTTTAAAAATTTAGTTAACCTTTATATTGAGTATTTGGTACATTATTTGCGACTTTTTTCTTCATCTCAGCAACTGAAGCATAAACCATTTGTAAACATATTGCTAATGTCTCCAAGTAACGTTTGTTGCATCTTTGAAGAGCTCTAATCACAAAATAATTAATCATAGTGAGTTTAATCATTTTAACGGTTACACACCGTGAAATAGGTATACCCATGCGAGGACAAAATATTTCAGTGTATGTTGCTTTTATGGTTTTGACTTTTGATTAAATTAGTTGTAGTGTTTTGAGATTTTAATTTCTTATACATTAAATTAATCATGTTATACTAGAAAAGGTAGACTTACTTTGTTTTTAGCTGTTATCATTGGTCTTCCCTTGGATTTTCTTCTGCATGGAATACAAACTTTGTTTGGTTAAGATGATGGTACTTACAAGTTTTAGTCGAGTGATATTTTGTGGGTTGAATAATTCTACATTTTCAACTTTGTATAAAAACATATGTGACACATGATGAGTATGTTACTTTATTTTTTAGACAAAGTTTGTATGTTTAGCGTTGCTCTTTTGAGGTGGTATAGTCTTCAATGTAGTGGTTGAGGTGGAAGGGACTATACTCAGTGTTGTTCTTGCTTGTGTAAGTGGATGTTTGAGCTTTAAAGATGTTTTCGACCAATTGGCATATGATATCTGTTTGGTGATTGCTATTTGACAGTCCTTTCTTTTTGAGAGATTTGACCGTATCAGTTGTTGGTATGTGATTGTTTTTATTTGACCATCTGCTCTTAGGTTTACAGTTCAGAACTTCGGTTGATTTTGAGGAGTTTCTTTTAGCTGTTCTTTATGGGTGCTCCAAAGCAGAAATGGACACAAGAAGAAGAAGCTGCATTAAAAGCTGGGGTTATTAAACATGGGGCTGGCAAATGGCGCACAATACTTAAAGACCCAGAATTCAGTGGTGTCTTGTATCTGCGTTCTAATGTTGATCTCAAGGTTGGTTCTATCACAATTTTTGTTTACCTATATGCTGAGAGAAGCATTTTGGTTAGTACTATTTTTTGTAAATGGTGATTGATTGCTTTGTTTTGATGTGGGGTAGGACAAGTGGAGAAATATGAGTGTGATGACCAATGGATGGGGATCACGGGAAAAGTCTAGGTTAGCTATTAAAAGAACAGCACATGCCCCTAAACTGGAAGAGAACTCTTTGTCTCTTGCTGCTAATGCTGCTCTAAGCGATGAGGAAGAAATTTTGGATGTTAAGCCAGTCACAGTCAGTGGTGTGCCGCAGATTGCTGCTGCTCCAAAGAGATCTATAGTAAGGTAAGACTTTTTTTTTTTTCCTGACATAATTGGTTTTGCATTGTCTCACTTCCTTAACTGATATGTGAAAAAACCTCCCTAAGAGAGAAAAGAAGTGTGGGATACTTTGGTACATGGGAAGTGGTGCAATTCTCACTGCTCTACATCTAGGTCCTATACTTTTTCATTTTAACTTACTGGATTTTTATTGTACTTAATATTTTAGTAGCTTGCTTTTAATACTCTCCACGCCCATGTTATCAAATTAGTGGAGCTCAAGATCTACTATTCTTTTATCCCTTCATGTTTGTTTCTACTACCACGATTGTGAGTTTGAGAAGATATTTCAATGAGAACACTCAAAAGCATTCAAAGTCATCTAAATGTAGTGTCATGTATCCACTTTGAAATTTGTTGTATTGTCCAACATTTATGCCGTTTAAGGTTATATTTTGGTAATTTTAAAATGGAATAAAATTACATTGTTTTACCACTTATGTATGATTGTGGAATATAATTTAATTCTTTGTTTTCGTTGTTTTAGGTTGGACAACCTTATAATGGAGGCTATAACCACCTTGAAGGAGCCTGGTGGTTCTAATAAGACATCCATTGCTGCATACATTGAGGTACTTCTGTATATGAGGAAAAATGTTGTAGAATATAATATGTTCTTATTTTATAGGAATTTATCTTGGTTGTTTGAGGTTTATTTGTAGTTCCATTAAACATTTCTGTATTATCTTAAGTTTCTGTTAAATCTTATGGTACTTAAATTATGGTCAGGCTGATTTATGTGTTACAATTGGCCATTGATTTTGTATGAAGCTGAGGAGTATTTAGGTGGAAATGAACAATTAATAAGATGATTGATAGTACTGGTTGCCTTAATGCTATAAAGTTCGATCCTGACCCCACAAAGTTGGTATTCATAACACATCCATTGATTAGTGATAACAGTGTCGGTGCGCTTTACATAGTTTGTATTGACTGCACATTCTTCACAAATACAGCTGGATGAGTGGCCATGGTCTAGATCATGACATTTGAAATGGATATGTTTGTTGTTGGTCATTTTGCATTACATGTATCTTATTAAGCTTTCATTTCTTTAAAATGGGTTATGGACTATACTTCTTAGTATTGATAAAGGTTAGCTATCTTGTATGCTTACCTTCACCGTTTATTTGTTCTGCAGGAGCAATACTGGGCACCTCCAGACTTTAAGAGGCTATTATCGGCTAAATTGAAATATTTAGCAGCAACTGGGAAACTCATTAAGGTAGTAATGTGCTACAAATCTGTGGTGTAATATGTTAAGTGACTTGGATGCCTGTTAACACTAAGCTTTGATGCCTTGAACCTTAACGAAAGCTAAAGGATCTATGTTATCCTCCGTTTTTTTATTTTTCTTTCCTTCTTTCTTTCTCTAATGGTGAAAACTAAATGAATAAAACACTTCTTGATGCCATGGAACAGGTAATACTGCCATGTTACAGTAAACAACTTGGACCTTTAGGTTATTGAAATTGGCAAATCGTAGATTGGGATACTGAAGGGATGTTAATAAATTAATGTTCAGACATGTTTGCAATTTCTTAAGGACTTTTTGGAGCATCATAATAGATTTTTGGAGTTAGCTGGATCACAGTGCATCTTTATTGAATGTGGATTACATATGAAGTGATTAACAAGTAGAGTCTCTTGATGTTTGAAATTATTGAAACATGTTGTGAAACAAAGATTTATGCAAGACCAATGTGAGTTGAAAGGGGGTTTATGATAGTTTTTAAAGTCTTAATTCTCATTTGGCAAGATGAAGGGATTGAAGCCAAATTCTTTATCTCTTACTCTTGCTCACACATTTGCGTCTTTTCTTAATTCCCTTTGCTCCTTTCCTCCCATCTTCTGGCTGAGTTTTTTCTTATTGGTTATAATTCTATGGCAGATTTTATTCTTTCTTTTTATTTGTTATTGCACATTTCTAACTTTTTCCTGAAGGGCTTAAAATATGGATTTGGATCTCTGATCTACTTACCTTTTAAGCACATGTTCTTCAATTAAATGATCTCTTTGGGCATATAGCCAAACCAATCTGAGTTAAACGCCATTTTGATGGAAAAATTTTTAGTCAGTACTTCACTCTCTTGGGCTTGGCGATGTTGTTACATTTGGCATTTAAAAATACTGCTATTAAAGCATGTCTTATGTTACCTTTGAATTTCAGTAGTTATTATCTTCTCTATGGGGAGAAATGAGAAATTTGCAGTTTTTCCATGAGCAATTTTTGAGTTATATTCTTTGCTTGTAATACCATGAAGACGGTTGAAGTCTAAGCAAATAAATACTTATCATCACAAGTAGGAAAATTAGAAGCATTCTTCTAGGAAGGAATAAGTTATGTACTGGCAATTAATGTTTAATTGAATTTATCAATTTCTGGTCTGCACAGTGTATATGTGTAACGTATTTATGAGAATATATATGTAAAGAGTTATTAATTCTTGGGCCCCATGTCTTTCTTGTATGGTACTGCAAGTACAAGTAATTTTCATCTATTATTATGATGAGGGAGTGCTGCCCCAGAATCATGTAAAACTTGACTAATAGGAAACTGAATTTAGTTTCCAAAATATTGGTTTGTTGGCTAAGTGGTAATATTTTTATTTTTTAGGGTTGGATTTGAATGCCAAGAATTTTTTTTCTTTTCATGCAGATAAAACGCAAGTATAGGATTGCACCCACAATACCATTTTCTGACCGAAGAAGAAATTCTTCCATGTTACTCATAGAGGGAAGGCAGAGGGTTTCTTCTCAAGTTGATAATGATGATGTTAATATTCCTACAAAATCTCAGATTGATTTAGAGTTAGCCAAGATGAGGAGTATGACTCCTCAAGAGGCTGCTGTTGCTGCTGCTCGAGCAGTTGCAGAGGCTGAAGCTGCCATAGCAGAAGCTGAAGAAGCAGCAAGGGAGGCAGAGGCTGCAGAAGCTGATGCAGAAGCCGCACAAGCTTTTGCAGAAGCTGCAATGAAGACACTGAAAGGAAGAAACAACCCAAAAATGGTAAAATTATATTTTATATCTACATCATATGGTATATATGTAATAATTAAAATAATATAGAGCAGCTCAAACAGAGCTAAAGTCTGAGCTTGTTGAGGCTTTGGTAATTGATAAGTCAATTTAAGTTGGACAGCAGTTCTCCTAAATCTGCTTGGAGCTGTGCTTGAGCCTGAATTTTGAAGTTCAGCCTAGGCTGAGCTGCAAAACTTGATCTTGAAATAATTTATGACTCTTTATGCTGAAATCAGTTTAGTCGTTGCAAATTGAAGTTCCACTGAGATGTTTTTTGATCTTTTGAGTCAATGTGTCTTTTGTAAATTGCGCAGATGATACGAGCCTGATGGAAATAAAGGGAGGCAACTACGTAGCTTCATAGACCCGACAAATCGCTTCCACCCAAAATGGACAATGACGAGCAATTAACCAGTGCATTTTTTTATTGATCCCCAGTTACATGAATGTCCTTTGTGACATTTGTTTGTACTTGTAAATATCATTAGGCCTCTTGGACAGGTATGTGCAGGATAACCTTCACGGCATACTACCATATCCTGTGAAAATGGTAGATCACGAAATAGCTTTTTCTTGTTGACCATTTGGAAGATGGGTCATGTCCTACTGCTTTTTTTCTTCTTGTTGGCTTATGTAGGATCTTCTTGTTTGTAGCTGATATTTATTGATTTTTAGAAATTTGAAAATGCAGCAAAATGTAGAAATTAGTGTAGAAAGAAATTAATAACAGTTGGATTCATGGTTCCGACTGAGATGTCTGTTATGTAACCCTTCTTTCTCCATGCCTTTTGGAGCTCTGTGATGGAAGTGAATGTATTATAGATGGTTTTTGCAGCACTTAATTCTAAATTAAGTACGTCATCGGCTTTCATAGTTCATACAACTGATACAAGTATATTGTACATTTTTATTTTTTGGGGTATCTTTAAACGAGGAATATGTGTTTTGGTGGAATAATTATTTTTAGGGGATCAATTGTACAAATTTATATTATTTTTTTCTATTGCCTTGATTCCGTCTGTTTGGGATTCATTGATCCGTTTAGAGCAGCATAAAATGTTTTTGTTCAACATTCTCTAGCAGAAGTATTTGGTTCAAGTAGTGGAGTCCAATTTGTATGTATTTTAATTTACACTCTAAACATGGAATCAAAGGGAATGTCTAATGTTTTAAAACCCAATCCGAGGTGAAACCTGGCCAAGTTGTCGGGTCTTAGGTTGACTGGTATGATCAGCATGATCAAACCGGTTGACAACAATTTTTAAAATTCAGCAAGTATACCTCAAGAAATTAAGTTAAGTCCCTATAGGTTTGAACTTTAGTAAACACACTTTAAATACAAATCGATTGATGATTGGTTGGCGACGTGACACCTCAAATGCAACACCCATAGTCTCTTGAGCCGGCGACGTGACACCTCAAATGCAACACCCATAGTCTCTTGAGCCGATTCCCCTTAAAATCTATCCTAGATATGATTGATATTGATTTGATTTTGGTTAGATCTCATCAATGTTGGCGTTGACAACCCTCCCCATCACCCTAGAAATACTCCCCTCTTCCTTCCGACCAAAACACATCTCACCCTACCCTCATTAGTCTCGCTAATTGTTGGCAAAAGCCGGTTGTTGCCACCGTCAGTTTTTTTTTTTCGATTTTCGGTCGATTTACTCATCGGAAATCAACCTTGTCGCCACCATTGCACTCACTGACACTTTCGTTTCAAAAGCTCCAACATCCCAATCTTCAATTGTTCGCTGATTATTATTCTAAATTTTAGGATTTTGGGTGAATAGGAAAAATGTGAACCTGACCCGGTGAAGCTTCCGAGTCTCAGTTAAACCGATCGAGTTTTAAAACATTGGAAATGTTTGAATTTAATTGCTTTTAATGATTCCATACAATCCTAACAAAATAAAAGATTAAGATAGGTTGATGTGTGATTTTGCCTGCAGACACAATCCTAAATTAAGGTATACATTGTTTTAGACATAATCCTAAATTAAGGTATGCATTGTTCTAAAACATTCCGAGACAAAGTTCCATATTTTATTTTAATTCTAGTAGTATTTGAAAATATTTCAATCAAATATAGTATTTTAAGATTGTTTCTCAAACACATAGCATTAAATTTTCAATAATACTTTGTATACTAACAGACTTTATGTGCACTAACTGAAAGCATAGTACGAGTACCATACACATAGTACCGGACCATATGTGATTACGTATAGTTTAGGTATTATATGTGATTTTAACAAAAGTTAGTACACTGGTTAGTAAAATCCGTTAGTACGTATAACATTACCAATTTTAGGATGGAAAGGTAATTTTGTCATTTCATCTTCTTAGACATGTAGAATAACCGAACACCTACTTATCAAACCCTAAACCCCTTAATATACAAACGCCAAAACACATAAAATCAATCCAAAAAAAAAAAAAAAAAAAAAAAGGAATAAATAAAACAAATATTGGCTCCTCTGAGCCACCACAGTTGGATTGAACCTTGGGTGGCCACAGTTAGGCCAAATTCGACATACTCCTCCACAGCTTGACAATTTATTTGATTAATAATACTTTGCGTACTAACGGATTTTACTAACCATGTACTAACCTTTGTTAAAATTACATATGGTACCTTAACGACTCCATTCTTATAAAAACATGCATAGTAAAGTACATGTAAAAATAACATAACACGTTGGGCCCAAAATTTTCTTTTATTAAACATATGATTCTTTATACAAATATATACAGATTTGTAACATATGTGAAAACTATCAAAATAGGGTGGACAGTGTAGCCATTTCTCTTCGTGTGCCGATGTCCATCCACTGTGTCCTCATCTAGAACCTGCAAAACATAGGAACAATTGGTGAGCACAAACAATGCTCAGTAAGTAAACCCATCTACTCAAATATCCCCGTAACTCTCTCTCTCTAATTCTTTCCCTACCATTTATTGACTCTTCTCTTATACAACTCTCTATTTCCTCTTTCTCATAACTCTTTTATACTAACTCTCTTTCTAGCAAGTCACGGCCCCATCTGACCAGAGGCACGGCTGGACTCTGCTCCCACTCCCTGTGACTTCTACTCATTCTAGCCGATCGGACTTGGTTATGCATGGATTCAGAACCTTTGGCCATGTGAGTGCATAGAATCTCTCGGTAAACTCGGTATAGCCCTCATCCGCATGTACTCTACAGGCTAAACCACTTCTCTTTCTGATACTCTTGCCGCTCTCTCTATGCGGCGTACATGAGAATACTCACCCTGTACTCACAGTTCCCCATCGCATAACCTATTCCATTCTCTTATTAAGCACTACTCTCCTTTACTCTATAGTGCTCATTCTCTCTTTCTCTTTACTCTTAGAGTAGTCTAAACTCAAAGTCTCTACTCCATAAGCTTGCTCAAAACTTCCTCCAACTCCAATCGAACTCAACCCAACATCAGCAAATAAAACACTTCTCATAACTCAATCATAACTACTATCTCATTCAACATTTAATGATTACACATATATGTATATAACTCTCTACCAAAAGAGTTCTTAAATCTCAACTTAGGTTGAGTTTACTTACCTTATGATAAAATAGCTTCTTTAACACTTCTCTTTTCCTTGGAGCTTGCCTTTTCTCTACAACTTAGCCAACAACCACAACATGAGACTCTAATCAAAACATATAAACTCTCATCTAAAGCAGAATACTTACCTTAGATGCTTTAGATTAAAACCCTACTAAAGTTACTCAAAAAGGCTCTTGGAAATCCTTGAAGATTGAAGGAATTTAAGAGAGTTTGGAAAATGAGAAGGCGGTGGAATGGGAAATGAAGAGTTCTCAAAGACTAAACCCCTTTAAATATCTCTTCACAAATCATTCTTCCCATTTTTCCCTTGCTCTTTCATGGAATTCCATCCATATCCTTTGATTCCTTACAAACACACCCCCATACTAACATGTTCTCCATGAAATTTCCTTACATTTTACTCCCCACTTTTCCTGCTAATTAGGGTTAAAATGGTCAAATAGTACCCAAGGGGAAAAATATCTAAAACTTAATAACCTTTTCAACCGGCACCGTCGCCGCGGCGAAGAATCTTCCTTCGCCTTGGCGAAACTGTCCAGCAGCTTCCCCCTGGCTTCACCACCTCTTCGCCCGCCGGCGAGCCCTGTAACAACAAAACCCTTCTAACTTTGACTAAATCCAAGACAAAAACTCAATATTTCCATACAACCAAAGACCAACCAACCACTATTCACAAAACCGACTCAATTAAGAACGAAGTAAGAAACACTAGCATCTTACCTCAAGTGGGATTTACAGTACCCGTACTATGCATATGGTACCCGTACTATGCTTTAGATTAGTATACTGATAAAATTCGTTGGTACGCATAACATTACCCTTTATTTGATTTCGTTACATTATAGATTAAATAAATTTTTTATACTTGTAAATAACATTGGTTTTAATTCAAAATTAAAAATAAAATAAAATAACAAAGACAAAAAGTTTTTCTAGAGAATTAACATTATTATTTAGATGTAATTAAATAATTTTATTAAGTAATTGCTTCTTAACCCAGTTTTACAAGCATGAACTTAATTAATTATAATACTATATAATTTCAAAGCTTATGATAGTCTAAAAATAAGAAATAAAAAACGTAACAGAAATGAGAAAACCTTCTCTTAAAATTAGGGCAGTTTATTAAAAGGCCATTTCAAGTTTGCATTTAATTAAAGGCTATCATTTTTAAAGTGTTAACTAAATAGCCATATTATTGATTAAGGGTAATTAGTGCTTAATTAGGATTAATGAAGTATTATATAATATTTTCAAAATTATTATATTCCCACAACCTGAAATTATTGCAAACAAACCCAAACACCTTCCCGCCATTAACGCATCTCTACCTCTGCATCTTCTTCTCTTCTTCTTAGCTTCGTCTACATCTTTCTTCTTCTCCTTCCTCCTTCCTCCTTCTCTCTACATCTTCTTCTTCTTCCTCTCCTTCCTCACATCTTCTTCTTCTTCCTCCTTCCTCTATATCTTCTTGTTCCTCCGCCATAAACACTTTATTCTTCCTCCACCATTAACATCTTCTCCACCAAAGATCCCCCTCCTCCTCCTCCTGACATTTCCTCTAAGTATGTGTATCTCCTTTTTACATTTTATATTTAGATTTACAAAGATTTAATAATGGATGGGTTTGGGTTATGATTTTGATTTAGTTGTTTAGGTTTGTTGGTTGTGTTTGATGTAATGCAAGTAAAATGAGTGAAATTTGTTAAAAATTTGTTCTGGGTATGTGTTCTCTGGGTATGATGGAATCGATTATAGGTGGAGATGACTGAAATGTGTTCTGGGTATGATGGATTGCTTAAGCGATTTGGTAGGTATGGTAATGGAGCAGATAGATCGCTTAAGCGATCTGGTAAAAGTCTAGTGTATAGGAGCAGATCGCTTAAGCGATCAGTAAATGACATAAGATCGCTGAAGCGATACAGCAGACCATATAAGCAACTGTGCAGATTCTTTTAAAATATTTGAATCCTTATTACAACATTTAAGAATTTTTTTTTTCTTGCATTACAGGTATTTGGCTATTATTGCACATGGGACAAGTTGTTTTGGGTGTGAATATTTGTGGTGGGGTGTGAGGAAGGACGTAGCTGGCAGTGGATTGGGAAGAGCAAAGAAGCTATACCAATTGCTGTGAGCACAGAGGTTAGTTTTGATGAGTTGATCGATGAAATAATTAGAAGAGGTAATTTGAGTTGCTCGCGTAGTGATATAGTTGTGAAGTATGTTTTAAGCAGAGTTCTTGAACATTATAAGGTACCTTATGTTATTTAAAGT